CTTAGAATCTGATGAGCCCAAAGCTTTTTAAGAACTAGGGGCTTAGTATCTGATGAGTCGAGAAGTCTTGGGGAGAAAGTCAATTCTGTTTTGCCATGTGAGGAGTTGCAGTGTGGTTTAGGAGGCACAGAACCAATATTGTATGTAGTTGGACCTCTGGATGGAACATAATTACCACACCTCAGTTGATGTTGGTCCAGGATATTTGTTTGTAATGCTTCCATGCTTGTGAAAATCCCCAGAGATTTTTAATTGCTGTAAAGAGCTCATATTCCATGACTCATCCTAAAGATTGCACCACTTAGCTCACCTGAGACTGTATCTGCCTTATGTTTGTGTAGGCTTCGTTTACCTTAGACTGTACTATGAGTTTTTGTGCATGGAAGATGAGGGGATACTGTTATACAGAGGATGTTTTGGTGCCTGGTTCTAGTGTGAGATGCATCTCTATTTTAAGACCATCAGAGCTCATTGTTGAATTGACCTCCTCATCATGATGTGTCCTTTTAATCCTTCATAATACTCCTTGTCTTGCAGTCTACTTTATTAGATATTAATATAGCCACTCTGATTTTCTTTTGATTCGTGCTTAAAATACTATAAACCACACAGAATCCCCTTGTTCTGTTTGAATGACTGCTTCTTGGTCTATGGACAGATTCCACATGAACATAGTCAAGTGTTCTGAATTCCCATTCTTTGCAAAGACAGAACAAATTTGTTTTAGAGGAAGTACAGCCAGAATGCTTCTTATAAGTGAAGATGGCAAGATTTTGTCTCATGTACTTTGGACATGTCAAGATGTCCCTGGAGAAGGGCATCATGCTTGGTAATGAGATGGATTGACACAGTAGTTGTATATTGGACTCAAACAAAACAATGATAGTGAGGATGGTGCAGGATTGGACAGTGTTTTCATTCTGTTGTGTATAGATAGAGTCACAAAAGTCAACAACCACAAGATGGCTAACTTCAAATTTTTCTAGAGTTACTTAGTGTTTGAGATAGGGGATGGATGCCAAAGGAGTTTTTGCAGTGTCTCTGTTTCACTCGTAGGTTTAGTCTTCAGCCTGTGTATCAAAGAAATTTTTATCTCTTATTCTTGCCTGTTTTCCAGCAGTATATTGCTATTGTTTGGTATTTACTATTTTCTGGCTTAGTGTTTGGGGTTGGGAAGGCATTCTCTGCTTTCCTGGTTTAACCTTAGTCTTAAGCAAGTGCTGCATGCCTGTTAAGTGGGGTCAGGATAGTCCCCACCTCAGGGTTTGTATTTTTCCAGTAACCTGTAGCAATGAGTTTGCAGCTGTGTCCTTAGAAGGCCAGGTTTGCTGCCCTCCCACTGGAACTTAAATGACTTTGTTCTATAACAGGAGATAGGGGAGAAGATCTGGGTGAGGTTTTGTATTTTTCTCTCAGTGATGCTGCTTCCCTCCTCAGGTCTCCTGTAATATACTGGTTAGCCATCTTGTGGTTGTTACATGCCATCCAGTCAGTTCCAACTCATAGCGACCCTACCTATACACAGAATGAAAATATTGTCCAATCCCACACTAGTCTCACACAATCATTGCTAGTTTTGAACCCACTGTACATCCACTGTGTCAATCCATCTCATTGGGGGGGGGGTCTTCCTTTTTTTTGCTGACCCTCTCCTTTACCAAGCAAGCATGATGTCCTTTTCTAGGGACATCTTGGCCTTTTGTGCTGCCTTCAAATCCTTCTTGTGAGTGTTTAGTGAAATCTTTGTTTTTAAAAATTTATTTTTTTTTAAAAAGTTTTTATTGTGAATCAAGTGAAAGCTTACAGGGCAGAGCATCAGTTTTTTTGTTTTTTTTTTAAAAATGTTTATTGTCAATTATGTGATAGTTTACCTGGGAGAACATTAGTTTTACATTCATCCTATCATATATCGTTTCATTGCTATGGTTACAATCCCCTCCATGCATCATCAACCAACCAAAGGGTATACACTACAAGCCTGCTCCCCAGTCATCAGCACACAGCCCCTCTCCCT